ATTTGCATTTTCATTGCTATATAGTATATAAAAGATACAATGGCTTCGACAATTTGCCTAAGATTCGTTCATGAATATGAAAATTTATTTGATGTATGTAGGAAATTTTCAAGTGTTTCCATAGATGATTTGACTGAGTCTCTAGTCGAAACAAAACTTCAAGCTCTTGAAGAAGATTGGTAATCACTTCGCCATTTACAGACTTCTCTGTAAATCAAGATAATATATTACTAACTACAGCTCTTGTCCAAATTCTGCATTCTGGTAATATGCACACAGTTCGTGCGTTAATCGATTCAGGTTCTAAAAGATCCCTTTTAACTGAAAATGCAGCTAGAAGAATTGGGTTAGGCACAGAATGTTCAAATGTAAAAATATGCGGATTGGGCGATAAGGTAGTCGCGAATAACAATAAAATTTCGAACGTAACATTATTTTCTGAAAGACATAAGACACAACTTAGCTCTAAAGTTGTGATTGTTCCGCAGATCACTAGTCTAATGCCAAATTCTTTAATGCAGATTTCTGATATTTCCGATATCAGTGAAATAGATTTAGCTGATCCTAATTTCTTAGTTCCTTCCGAAATTGAGATGATCTTGGGAAGCGATATAATTCCCCATATAGTCTTAGATGGGATGAAAAACAGGAAGTCTGATCGCTCAGAATTCAATATTCGGTTGGTATATATTTGGCTCAATAAATTCACAAGGCACTTCTCAAGTGTCTTTAGATAGTTCTTGCGAAATGAATCATATCAACAGCTTAATTTCATTAAGAAATGATACTACACATGCCAATTCCTTGGTAATTACAACATATTCTTTCAAAGAAAAACATTCATGTAAAACTAACAATTCTTTTTCGGCTCAAGAATCAGAGTTAATATATTTCAATAGTTTTCCCCCCGCAGGGTGGCTTACGCCAAATTTTCTTGGAAATATTATTACACCTTTAATATATAATCTATTATACAGAATTATACCAAATGCGATCCATCTCGCTAAAGTTGCGTTGTTGCAACATGCCAAAACACTGCAAATTCCTTTGCAAAGAATGTTATACAACACGATCCATATCGCTAATGTTGCGCCGTTGCAACATGTCAAAATATTGCAAATTTCTTTTCAAGGAATTTTATACAAGAACAATGCGCAATTGCACCTTTCATTAAAGTCAAATTCTATTAGCTTACGACATCGCCCAGACTCAAGCAAATCAGAGCAATTCCTTGCAGCTGATATTTGTTTTAGAATTTGCACAAAAATATTGAATAAAATTCAAAAATTCTTTGAATACACAAAATGGCGTCCGACCATTTATTCATATAAAAAATCGTATTGTGCAGCTACATACGATTTAGGAAATATTTTTCTTTTTCTGATCCAGAGACAGTACTCAGGTTTTCAACTAGAGTTATATAGAGCTCATCTACGATTTAAAAAAATAACAATGCGTTATTTTATCGGTCATATATTTCGAAAATATGCTGATCAAGTGCATAATACCCATCAAATGTTCAATTTGTTGTCGAAACGATTCTGCTGTTCTCTTTTCTTTTCTTATTTCTTTCCAGATAAAGACGAACGCCTTTCAGGATTATTCAAATATAGCATAGCCTGCCGAGAGCTGGAAGTCCATTCCGAAGTTTACCACACTCCAGTCAGTCTGCCAAGAGTTGGGTGTTTTCAGCATTGCACTAGTGCAAGGGGGCCGCCATGTCGAAGATCGATCTGTCGCCATCGCCAGCATTGTAAACGGCTTGATCGACTTCGACTAAAATTGACACTTCCGTGTAAGAACGCCCTGTTCAAGGCGCCAACATAAAGGAGAACAAGAGAAGTCACTTGTCATCGACACAGAGAACGAACAACATCAGAAAAACAAACAAACAAATAAAACAAAATTAAAATTCACATTAAAACAAAGGGCAGAAACACAAACAAAACAAATAGTGCAACTTACAAACAAAACCAACACAAAGTGCACCAGCAACAACCAACATACACCACACTAAAATCAATTTTAATATTGATACATTAAAAACGTTTACCAAACAAAACGAACACAAAGTGTAACAAATAAAGCAGTTTTAAATTTCTTTAAAATTGCAACAATAAAATCTATAAACATTTATTCAAAAGAAGTTCTTGTCTTTAATTTAACAACAACAACGCTAAAGGTTCAAATCAAGTAAGTATAGTCAAGCTCTTTGAATTTACATATCGATCAATACTCGCTGATATACTCGACTGCAATTGTACCCTACATTGTTACATCTCATGTAACAAGCCTTTAAATATTCTGCTTTAGTTCCATCAAACAGAATCAACAAATACAACTTTCGGTTGGAATTTGTTCACTGTCAATATTCAAGGATTCTTCATATTTTCCTAGGCCAGAAAAAAAAACGTAATTTTGTTCTTTTTAAAAGAATTTGAAATCAATGAGCCCAAATTTGTCATGATTTTGTGCAGAATTTCTCATAATCGTTTTAGAGATTTTTCAATTGCATGTACTTTTTCAAACAGCAAAAAAATCGCTTGAAATTTTATACGGTTAATGGTACGTATTTTTGTAGTTAATAAAATGCCCCGAAGACTTTTGCCTCTTTTCACCAGGGGTACTACAACTCAAAATACGGTGTGACGTAATTTAAACTGAACAGTTCTTTAAATCTACTGCACATGGAAAAAATAAAACAAATTATTTGAAAGTGTCCTTAGTTCCCTACCAGTGATTGAAAATGCTGATTTCAGTAAAATTTCTCAAAAAAAGTTTTTTAAATTTTTCTACAAATTTCCTAATTTAAGCTCATTTTCAATTTCTAAAATTTTAAGGACTTTTTGGTCCAGAAAATGACTTTAAGGATTAAAATTGCAGAAAAATAAAATAACTATTTTATCGTTATAAGATAAATTTTGATATATATTTAAAAAAAGTCATTACAGATAGAAAGATATTCTCTTTAATTTTTCAAGAAACCCGGGTAACGCCGGGTACACGCAGCTAGTATAATATAAAACCTAGAAACATGAAATTGAGTATGTGTAGAGCCCGCATTAAGTGAGAACCCATAAAAGGTGACTTTTTGGTACTTTTGCGTTCTCCAATAGGTACTTTTTGAATTTTCTATAATATTGAACCTAGAAACATGAATTTAAGCATGTAGAGCCCGGATTAAGTGAGAACCCATAAAAGGGGACTTTATGTTACTTTTTCGTTCTTCAAAACGTTCTTTTTGAATTTTCTACCATATTGAACATAGAAACATGAAATGAAGTGAGCAAGAACATATCGTCATATGAAATCCAAAAATCTCTAAGTTACAATGAACAAATTTTTCAGGAGAAGCAAAACACCTTCTAAAATGATAAATAATCCAAAAATTGTCAACATCTTCTAAAGTTAAGCTTATTTTTTATTGACAAATTAGTATTTGAAGAAGTTACATTAAAAGTTACATTAAAAAATAGTAAGTTTCAACATTTTTATAAGATAAAGATTTTTGGAAATTGGGATTTTTATAATATTTTACAATTTCGATGTTAAAAAATTTAAAAGAATTTTAAAATTTTCATGAATTTTAAGGTATTTTTATAACATATCTTTTAGAATTTCGAAGATAGGGACGTTGATTTTAATTGTAGGTGTGTAAAATTTAGTAGGAACATGTATTTTGATACGGTGCATCATAAGCAATCAAAAAGTCGATTTATATTTTTTTGTAACTTTGGGCTTTTTGGATTTCACGACGATATAAAAAGGGACTTTTTAGTACTTTTTTCCTTCATGAGCCTAGAAACATAAAATTAATCATTAAGAGCGGGTTTTTGAAATAATAATCAAATGCCAATTAATAATCAGATTAGTTAATCGAAAAATAAATTAAATCTTATGTTAATACCCTTTGATGTTTTTGAGTACAAGATTAAACTTCGCAGTGTTGCCATACAAAACAACAAAAACTGCACTGTTTGTTATCAAAACAATGCATATTTTATAAAAAAGAAGAAGACAATTGTACATTTAATATGAAAATTAATGAAAACTTAAATTAAAAACAAAAAAATGTATTTTGAAGTGTCTATAATTTATACTAATCAAAAAATAGAACATTTTAATGTTTATATTTATAAAAATTGTATTATTTTTTTTGCATCAGCTGTTTACACTTTTGCATTTCGTGCTTAAGATTAAACCACCTCCATTGGGCGCTTAAACTTGCAAACAAAATTAACTAATTGAGTACTCAAAAACATCTTTCGAGGATTAATTTTAATTTAATCGCTAATCTTTCACCTAAATATTGGCCCTAAGAGTCCTGAGTTAGCGAAAATCTGCAGGAAATGATTTTTGGTACTATTTCGTTCAAAGACTGGTATTTTTTAGCTTTTATGCACACAGGTAGCAGCCTGATTGGTTGAAAATCTTTAAAATGAGACTTTCTGGTACTTTTTTGTTTAACGACTGGTAGTTTTTGATTTTTGTAATAAAATTCACACTGACTGTTTTTTTAACACATCATGGTGAAGGGTATATCAGATTCGGCACAGCTGAATATACGAATCTTACTGGTTTTTATTCAATTGTACTGCTTTTATAACTACGATGTACGTTTTTGGTTGATTTCAAATCTGGCAAGCCTAGGCATGTCGCATTGAATCAAAATAAAGCTTAGGACTTTTTCTTTAAAAGCTTTTTGGCCGCTTAGTGGGATATCTTGCAAATTAAATGTTTTCTAACTCAAGACAAAAGTTTCAAGTTTTGACATGGAGTCCCCCATATACTTTATAGGTTGGCAAAATTGAATTTGTATTGAAATTGTACAAACAAAATGCCAAACTTTCTCACGAATGTGAAAGGTATACAAATAAATTTTTTTCAACAGTTAAAAATATTTTTTAATTGTTAATAATACTATGGCGAAGGATTTAAATACAAGATTCGGTAGAGACATATTTAGAATATAATACTTGTTTTCTTTATTAAAAACTTACCAATACTTGCCATCCTTACGTAAAATTGGCAGAGCTTTATCCATTATTTGCTGATAGAATTTTAAATTTTTTTCCAGTCGTCGTATAGTCTCCAAGTAATCGGCACGATCCAGTTGAAATTCAACTTGCAGATCGGAAACTTCTCTTTCAAGGGCTCGGTTTTTCTGGCGCAAAATTTTTAAGTGTTCATTTTTAGCATTCAATTCCTGTTGAATTGACGTATAGTGGCCTTGTAATATATCACGGTCTTCACTTTGTTCGACACGACTTAAAACATGAGCCAAAGCGCTCAAACGCCTCTGAGCATCAAGTTTTTTCCTTTGTCTTTTTTCCTTCAATTGTGTATCATTAGCTCGTTCGCCACCAATTAATGCTTGTTTAATCATTTCAATGCGTTTGCAGGCTTCCAATTGTAATATTTTGTTCCCAGATGCCAATAGTTGATTATCAGATTTATTCTCTCTTGACACTAATTCTTTACTTTGGGGTTTCAAAAGCATCAGTTGTTCCTCATAACTTTGTTTTAACTGTTCCATTTCTTGTATTCGTTGATCCTTTTCACGTTTTTCTCTTATGTGCTCTTCCCGTAGACGTTCCATTTCGGCCTGCATTTCATTTTTTAACTTTTGACTCTCGTCATCTAACCATGCTAAAGAAACTTGTGGTGGTTTTTCTTCTCCTAATGTTTGGTGGTTCGATATACCGTTTGTATTATTGTCATTATTTCCATTTAAATTATTTGCCTCCAACATCTTTTTCAATTGTAAAATTTCCTGCTGATATTCGCGTAACTTTGCGTCTTTAGGATCCTCATTGATTTTGGGTTTATTTGAAATATTTTTGGCTCTTGAGGCATATCGTAACGTTGAAATTGTTTCATCGTAATTCGTATCCGCTGGAGAAATACAAGCAATCATTAAAGTTTTTGTATTTCCTCCCAAAGAATCCTGAATAAAAATTTATACATTAAAAATATATCATAAGAATTTATAACTATGTTCAATTGGTTTTGGCATTTTAGAATTAAGTACTCATTGTATAGAGAATTAAGTTCAATTTGTCTATCCTTTATTTCATGACATAATTCATACCGATAACAATTATTCTTATTTTGGAAATTGGCTAAAATATGCAGGCAAAAAAATTATCGGCTGAATCGGCTTAAAAAATTAGAATTGGTTAAGAAATTAAAGAAATGTTTCAGATCACTATTAAGTACAAATACTTAAAATCATAGCCATAATAGTTATACGTTATGGCTTATTTTACAATTCATAATTTTTACGGATGAGAATTATTTTTTACACATGTGTAACGTGATCAGGCATCCCGCTTTTTAAAAGTTGATCCCGACTTAGATTTCAATCCCGCTTTTTAATAAAAATCCCGCTTTTTTACATAACAGGTCAATAATCCTTAATTTTATTGTAATCAATTTGGGATTTATCATTTAAAAGCTTAAAATTTAACCGTCTTGTCTATACCCGAGCAAAATTACGTACATCAATACCCAACATACCCGGGTATGTCATACAATTTATATGGCTATTTCATCTTTTTATACATTTCTAGTGTATAATTCAGATAATTATTAAAACTAATTTAATAAAACGTCTGTATATATAAATTAAATAGTTTTTGATCATAAACCATTAAATTTTAGCAATTTTTTTAAGTTTTCTTATTGCTTTCCTGTTAACAAAAATGTCATATGCAAAAAACCTAAAGAAAAACGCCTTCATAACGTATAATGTACATTATGCAGAATTTGACTTTGTAAAATTTTGACTTCAAGAAGCTATTACTCTGTGACCGGGAAAGACAATTGAACATATATTATAAAGTCGATTAGCATTAAAGAAATTGTTTTTGCTTTCGTAAGTAGGGAACTTTTTTTGCAAAAAAAGATTGCTAAGTCATGGTCAAAAATTAAAATTTTTAAAATTTAAACTTAAATATTTTTGTCTATATGAGAATAAAATTATTATAATCAGCATAATTTTACTTTACTAAGTCATGTACAAAAAAAATTATTTTATAAAAATCGGCCCATATTTGTTAATGTTACAGGGTCCACAAATATATCAGAAATATATATATTTATGAATAAAGACACATGACCCTGTATTTGAAACTAAATTTGTTGTTTTATTAAATAATTTTCATAAAATACAAGAATATATATAATTCTAATAATAAAACATAAAATTTATACATACCGGGGTATGTTGGATATTGATACACGAGGTAAAAATAGAAAATATAAATCATAAATCGGTTTAATATATGTATAATGTATAGAAAACATTACTCTGAAAGCATAGTCCAAATTTCAAGCCGATACGATATATAAATCTGGAGATATATCACTTCAGAAATGAAAAACATACCCGGGTATGTGGTTATTGACATAACGGTTACACTTTAAATTTAGAAATTTCGGTAGAAAATAGAGATTTGAAAAAAATATTCTAGTATTTTTTAATAAAATTCAATTAATAATATTTTTTAATAACTTTTCAAAATGTGGGTAAATATAGACATAGACTTTTAAAAAAATGTTTCAGTTCGATTTGTAAAGTCAATGTTTTAAAATAAATCATATTATTTCAGGTTAGGTTAGTTAGGCTGTATCTACATCAAATCCGAAGAAATACACCTAGGCCACTATCGGGCCTTTTGTGCGCTCCTTTTCATGGAAAATGTTTGTTGGTAAAAAACAAAAACCTTATATAGTATTCACTAAATGTATTATCATCCGATGTTCAGAAACTCAGTTTTTTGGACGTAATTCCTGAGAATTTTCAAATCAGTGTTCATGAGGGATATTATATCCGGAATATTATTTTAAGTGTCAAGCGAAAATTAACTTTTTGGACATGTCACTTTTATCTTATAAAGCTGTGCTTTTTTGCCGAGTGAGTTGCACGAAAGATATCAATCTAATTTTATGACCAGTATTTTATGTCGCCGACCTAATAGAGAATTTAATTTATCCTCACCTCAGCACCCACTTATATCTAACAACCAGTAGACCTAAGTATTTCCGTTTGCGTCCCCATTTCGATTTGTTTTATTTTTTTGAAGAGATATTCCAGAATGATTTTATCTAATTTTTTTGGATACTCTATGATTCCCCACTATTCTGATTTTAGTTTTAGAATTCTCTAGGAACATACGAAATATGCTGTAGAAAAAGTTTTATTTATATAGATTTTTTAATAACACAGACCAACAAAAATTTTAAAATGTCGAAAGGAAGGATTGTTACCTAAAATTCAAATCTGAATTTTTCTATCATATCAGGGTTTCGTATTATGTTTGTCTTACCTTTATTAAAATTCAATCCTTAAGAATAGTATGCCCTGGTCTCAGGACAAAATTTTTTTCCATGTGTAATTTGTTCATAGTGTAACGTTAAAAGTCGTCGCCTCGTTTTTAACGTACAATTATTTTTTATTATTATTTTATTTATATTTAACAATTGAATTAAAAATACTTTTCTTTGTTTTATAGTTTAACGACTATTTACTTATTTATGCAACGCCACCTAGGTGTAAAAGAAATTTAAATTACTTTATAGTATTTTTTAAATTTAACGTTTATATGGTTAAGCAATGCCATCTAGGTGTAAGAATCCTACTTAGTTAAGATCGCATACCTTTAAGATACAACAATGTATACTAAGATACCATTATAAGCTTTACTGCGAAAATTTAATATAAAGGATGCCCAAGACGAATTCATATAAGGTGGTGTTATTCAATCAGCCGATAATTATACCCTTCACCTTCGTGAGAAGGGTATATATAAGTTTGTCATTCCGTTTGTAATTTCCAAAACCCATAAAGTATATATATTCTGAATCCTTATAGATAGCGGAGTCGACTAAGCCATGTCGTCTGTCTGTCTGTTGAAATCAGTTTTCTGAAGACCCCAGATATCTTCGGGATCCAAATCTTCAATAATTCTATCAGACATGCTTTCGAGAAGTTTCCTATTTAAAATCAGCAAAATCCGTTCATAAAGAACGGAGATATAAGCAAAAATCCGAGACAACCTCTGAAAATTTCATAAAAAATAAACAACAACACTGCTTATTCATTGCCTTTGTATTTTGTTTTTGTTTTTTTGAGTATTTCGTTTCGTATGTTTGGATGGTTGTGTGTTTCATTGTGTAGTGTATTTTGTTTTTTTCTGTATTTCGTTTCGTATGTTTGGATGTCTGTTGGTTTTACTGTCTTGTGTATTTTTTTGTGTGTTTATTTCGTTTAGCGTTGTTGTTGTTCATTATGTTTTGCTATTGCTATAATAATGATATAGTGGGGAAAATGAATTTTTAAATACACTATGGTGAAGGGTATATAAGATTCGGCACAGCCGAATATAGCACTCTTACTTGTTTTTTTTTTTCTTAATTCGCCTCGTTTACGTAGCTGTCAAAGTTTGTTATTGTTTACATTTTTATATTTAAAAATGTCCGTTAAACGGAGAAAAACTTCGTTAATATTTTGAACTATTGATGTAAAAAATCTGAAAATACCAAGCAGCTCGTAAACAAATATCATTTTATTTAAATAATGGCATAATTGGTATGTATACAAATATGTTATTTAAGAAAAATATTTTTTTCTATTAAATGTTAACATATTACACAATATTGTTTTATATTTTATACTAAAATTAGGTAGATAACGTGATTAACTACAAAAAATCTCTTCCGGAACACTTAATATTAAGAAACGCATATGAAGTATTTACCCGGCTGGCGGCAGCTGACTTCTACGTTATGGCTTAATTTTGAAATCTATTAAATGTTAACAAATTAAACAATATCGTTTTATATATACACTATGTATATAAAGAGATTAACTAAAAAAAGTATGTTCCGGAACGCTTTATATAACAAAATCCATATGAGGTATTGATCCGTCCGGCGGCTGCTACATTATGGCCAAATATTGATAATTACTCCGCCGGAGTAGAATTATCCTTTCCCAACAAATATTCATTCATTCGTAATATAATATTTTGATGAATATGTACTTTTTTATGTTTATTTTTCACAAAAAATTAAGTTTTATTTAACTTCAGGCACTCACTTAAATTTTACAAATTAATCTGCCGGAATAGAATTTTTCGTTTGAAACAAACATTATTCAATTCAGAATATATTTCCTTCACAAATTTTAATATTTTTAAATTTATTTTTTAATAAAATATAAACATTTTACAAAAATTTTTCATCAAATGAATTCGCCGTACATATGGTTTTTGACATCTACGTAAACCAAATGCAAAAACAAAATACATGTAAAATGTTGTTGCTGCAGAACTGCCACCACCTTATCTGAATTCGCCTTGAGGAGGCTTAGTTATGTAGTATGAGTCAGTCTTCGCCAAGGCGAATTCATATAAGGTGGTGTTATTCAATCAGCTGATAATTTTTTTCTTAACTCGCCTGGTTTACGTAGCTGTCAAAGTTTGTTATTTTTTACATTTTTATACCCTCCACCACCATCAGTGGTGATAGACGGTATATATAAGTTTGTCATTCCGTGTGTAACACCAAAAAATATTCATCTGAGACCCAACAAAGTACATATATTCTGGATCCTTATGAAATTCTGAGTCGATTTAGCTATGTCCGTCTGTCTGTCTGTCTGGTTAAAACACGCTCACGCTAAAACTAAGCAAATAAAATCAACCAAATTCACTGAGAGTATTCATTGTTTTCCTAAGCAGTTTGGTATTGAAAATCAGCAAAATCGGTTCACAACGTAAAAAGTTATGAGTAAAAATTTCAGACTACCTCAAAAAAATTAAGTTGTTTTCCCCAATTCTTGAGTAGTTTTCTCAGAAACTACCAAAGATAATTCGACAAATTTTGTCACAGATTATTTTGTCCATCTATAGATTAATTGTGTTTAAAATTGTAACAATCGAT